TGCTTAATGAGAATATTTTAGACATTGCCAGTGGACATTTTGATCTGCTTATCAGAAACCAACGCAAATTTGAATTTGGGCAAGGACATCCTTCTTCCACCAGTCATGATTCCATGTTGACTGGAAGTATTCTCTTAAACTTTATAAGGAATGATTAACTATGACAAAATCTCCAATAACTGATTAAAAAAAATCCTGAACTACTTTATATTAAAAATATTCGTTCCACGTACTATTGATAGAAACTCTCTTTTCAGCAGAATTTGAATTTACAAATGTAAAATAGAGTTGCTAAGTTAAGATTCTTTTCAAGCAGAAGTTTGAAAAATTTTCAGGCAGCATTGTGACACATAACTGCTTGGAAAATTAGAAAGAGTTAATCGACAGCTACAGAAAATTAATGCAGCAACTGTCCACTCAGTGAACACTCTCTGAAGGGCTGATAATAGAAAAAAGTCGCTGGCAACTAACTTCGTTGAATATATATTTTTTTATCGTCTACACGCATTTTGCACAATACGTTCTTTTAGTATGATAAGAAAAACAGCTATTTCGATCAAATATAATTCATCAGTAACAGCTTCTTTTGAACTTTTTACTGTAGTCTTCTCTAGATTAGTACTAGCTAAAAATCATATTAGACTTTGGCAGCGCCCAAGTCAAATATATCTGAAATTGGTGCATAGAACGTCCGCCAAATTGTAGCTTAAGCTAACCTAATTTAGTTTGGATTGTTCTTAAAGCTTTTAATTTGTTTGTTATTTGAATTCTAACTCAGTTACAAAGAACTTTCAGTTTAGCCTGAAAGAGCAATACTTTCTTCGCCTTATATTATTTTGAACAATGTGCTTTCGATTTATTTGACGTAGCATCTTGTAAATAATTCGTCAAATAAATAAATAAGAAAAACATAAACTACAACTCATTCTATTTGCACTTTTCTTTGTATTTGCAGAGCTGTCTTCATTGCAGACCAACGATTTCTTGCGCTTAAGCAACCGGACAAATTCTGGACGCTGCAAATAAAATATGTACAAGCAAGAGATGCGGGCGCCTACGAATGTCAAGTGTCAACGGAGCCAAAAGTTAGCGCCCGAGTGCACTTGCAAGTGGTTGGTAAGTTGCAAACAACTTTCATTTTATTGCAGCAGCAGCAACGGTGGCGGTGTTGGCAGCGGCAGCTAAAACTTATGCAATTAAATAAGTGAAAGCAAAAGAAAGTTCTGCTTCCAGCTTGCGGCTGTAACCATCGAGTCTAAGTCAATTCTAAGCAAACGAGGCATTCTAGGAAAACTTAAGTGTGGTGTCAACACACAAGCACATGTTTAATAGTGTATGTGTGTGGCGTGATGTACAAGTATGTTATTGCTTTCATTTTTCTTTTGTCACAAGCGATTTGTTTCTGTATATTATGTCACGTCATATGTTCACATTTTTCTGGAGTTAATCACATAAGTTTTGCAACCAGTTCAGAACTCAGTCACTAGGCAGTACAGTACTGATTTTAGTTATGTACAGTTAATTTTTTTTAGTTGAAGTTGCTGGAGTGGCAGAGTGCCGTTAATTTATTTAGTTATAGTTGATGGAGTAGCAGAGTGCCATTAACTCAGTTAGCTCTCTATGCGTCGTAGCAAATCCAGTGTAGCTCAATTTGACTCCACCACAGCAAATACCATATTTTTAGTAGAAAAATATTCGAAATAAACAAATTTAACGATTTAGTTTTTAGAGTAGTGTTTACTATTTAGAAATATGATTTTGAGTTGAGGTATTTGCCTTAAAGTTGTTATTCAGATCTATAGTATGTACCTGAAAAGCTTAGATCTTTTTCGGGAAGCATTTATGTATATAAACTATTACATGTGACACGTCTGAAAAAAAAAAATACTGAGTTCCAGCGCCTAAATTTCGACTTCCGCTTGTAACATTTTTTATATGATGGCTATTGAAAAACGTCACAAACGGTCTGGACTGTAACATAATTTTTTACACCTGTATGGTTTGTGTATTTTATTCTCTTTTTATAGCTGAGATAGTTTGGCTCAGAGGGAACTATTTGAAGCACTTGTTAATGAGATCTTTAAAAGCAGTTACCAATCTAAGGGCTTATTCTATGCTTTCCTGGTTCCGACCCTAGGTCGGCACTCTCTAGTAAACCCTTACAAACCTAAACGGAAACGAATTGGCTACCTACGATGCTGAGTATTGTATTTTCTGGGGTTTCGTTGGTACATACGAATCAAAAGAGCATAGTTTAACCCAAGATTATATAACTAGTGTAAATTTTTTATCGTAATACATGGTCTCCATTACCACTCGCGGAAGCATATTTACACAATATTGACAAAAAAATCTAACTTGTGGTGCTGAGGTCGCAGTATTTTTAATATTTTTCTATTGGCTAATTTTCGAAAAGTATATGTATGTATACTTATACGTGAAAACATTTGATTTTTCGAAAGTAAAGTAGTTTTTGCTTAATACCGCCTATGACTTCAATTTCCTGGCGGGTTTATTTTTTTCATATAAATTTTAGTGCTTTCTTGTGATTTCACTATTTTCCCACATACATATGTGTGAACCAGCAGCAGCGCCAAACTCACACACACGCTGCCACATTTATTTATTCAGAAACTTAAATACGCCGGCAGTGCGGTGCCATGCATTAAAATTTACTTTGAGAATTTAATTTTAATTGTGGCTAGAATCTATTGAAAAGTCAAAGTCCAACTGCCTAACGGTCATGACAAGGCAACTTTTGCATAGCCAAAAGCTTTTAACAGGAAAACTTTTCGCCACTCGGAACGGTTAGGAATTTAATGGTACATCCAAGAATGTCTTATTTAGTTCTGCTTCCGTAGAAGTCGCCACTTGCATGTGTCACATGCATATGTTTGCGTGTGCGCATGTGTGTGTGAGTGGGTGTCGGTAAAAATACACAAACACACATGTGTCTTCGGGTCCTTCCCCAGATGCTGTTGACTCAATTTCGCCGTTATGTAATAACAATATAACAAAAGTAAGCAACAACATATATAAATAAACAAAAAAAATACGAAAATGAATGAAATCTCAACTTTCAACTTCCAACTAATATTTGGTCATGTGTGAAAAGTGTAAGTGTTGAACGCTTCAAAGTTTCTTAAATATTTCTCCGGGCAATGCTTGAAGTGGGTGTGTCGCTGTCAGTAGTTATTCCGATAATTGACTTTTAGTGGTCTTTTGTAGAATTTCAAAATTACTGAGATTTTGTTAAATGTATATGTGCTTGTATGTGTGTGGACGAAATAGTTTTGAAAGCATTTTATTGGTAAATATTAAATTGCATGCGTGTGCGTTAAATGTGCCGGAAGCTAGCTTTCAACTCATAATTATATATTCCATTACAGACATGTGACATCACAGTTATCCACAATTCAGTATAAAATAATAATTTTAGGAAAATATATGTAAATCCAAACCAATAAAAATTGTTATTTTCTCGCAACACGCGGCCCCCTAATAAGTTTACTGTACATATCCTACAAACTGCTAATGCCATAAAAATCAATATTAGCGAAACATTTCATTCTAGTTTTTCAGTATGCGATGTAAGAATTGGTAAAGTCGGATAGCAATCACATCCACTCTTCATACAAAGGTACGATACCATATTTAAAGTACGATAACTCTCTAAAAAACATGTAGAAACTAGTAAAGAAGAGCTATGTTCGGTTGTAACGGAACACTTCATGCTCTTGCAACTTGCCAGGATCAAAGCCATGAATAAGCCTTCAGGTGCATAAGGTTTGTTAGAACAACAGAAATTACTAGGTATATGTAGTATAAGGTAGTTTGTGTAATTTGTGAACCAATTTCAAAAATTTTTAGCATTAAACTATATTATGACCAATATAATACGTTCAGTCAACTTTGCTGAGGTATCTAACTTATTTGCCGATACATGCGATATACATAAAGTGCGAGTAGTTCGAAAATCTTTCTATTAGTGTATTGGTGCTAACGAAATATTAGAAAAAAATTATCTTCGAATTTCTATAACACATCTCACAGATTGACCCATATTTTCGATAAAATGTTCGCTGTAGGAGCTGGGGTATACATATTCGGTATCTGCGGACTGGAATAATTTTAGTTCGATTTACAATTTTTGGTAATAAGGTGGCGAACCTCAAAGGCACTTTTCGTGCAAAGTTTTATGGCGATACATTCATTGGTGCTTGATTTGCATACTAGAAAATAAAAGAATCATATGGAATTAAAAATTGTGTTATATGGGAAGTAGGCGTGGTTGTAGTCCGATCTCGCCAATTTTTTCACTGAAACATAGGAAGTAGTTTTTAACCGATTTCGTCCATTTTTACAATGTTAAGGGATTTGTATTGAGCATATTTGGTTGTTGTACCTTAAGTGGTTTAGCAGATATGTATGTACATTAAACTTTTTAGAGGACGGAGCCAGGTCCATTTTGAAAAAAATTTTAGCCCACAGGTGCCTCTTCCTGCTGTGATTCTCTGTGCCAAATTACAGTCTATACCTTAATCTAGTGCTTAGTTATGACACTTGATTTCGTTTAATTACATTTGGTGGGCATGGCAGTGGTCCGATTGTGTCCATCTAGGAACTCGTTCTCACCTTTTGCCAAGAAATACTTGTACCAAGTGTTATTAGAATATCTCAATTTTTACTCAAGTACTAGCTTACGCAAACAGATGGACATGCAGACATCCTACTCATCTGTTGACTTTTCTCCGTATAATTATACCCTGAGCAGTATTTTTACTACGATGTTTGTAACATCCAAAAAGAAACTTCGGAGACCCTATAAAATATATATGTAAACGAGCACGACGAGCGTAGTCAATTTAGCCATACTCATTTGTATGTCCGCCTGTTTCTCTGTATCTGTGAGATATCGATCTGAAATTTTTTACGCGCCATTTTCTCCCCTAAAAGATTATTTGTCAGAAGCGCCGATATCGGATCAGTATAACACATAGCTGCCATATACAAGTAGGCTAAAGGATCGGAATGAAACGGTTGTATGGACAACTTTTTCGTTTGACGAGATATCTCTACCAAATTTGACATGAAACCGACCGATCAAAATCAAGTTCTTGTAAGGAATATTTCGTCTTTGTAGCTTATGTATTATTTGGCTGCACCTAAACTTACCCCTTACTTGCTTGTTTTAGTTTACTTTATTGAACTTAATTTAATTGTTCAATAAAGTAAATAATGTTTTAAATTTTATTTAATTTTAATTTTATCATTTTTATATTTTTCATTCTACTTCATTTTAATTCATAACATATTATTTTAATTACTTTTATTCAATGCATTCTCATATATATTTCTGGTCACGTAATACATTTCCCCCATTTATGGCAATATGTACATGACTGAAAAAAATTCACAAGGGCTTTAGACACCTTTGTTTGTAACCGAAACAAATGAGCCGAGGAAAATATGCTGCAAATGACATAAACACAAATACTTAGGCAATTTGTACACAAATGAGGCAGAGAAAGCACGTTAGCCGGCCGAAAATCAACCCTACCGAAAGCCAACCACCCACTGGAAAGAAAGAAAAGAAAAACAAACATGTGCATATATGTATGTATGTATTTATTGGCAAAAGAAATCGAGCGGAAATACCAGATTTAACATTGCTCCCTCAACAACAACAACAACAAAACGAGTGAATACAGCAAGGCGTACAAGTGAAAATAGTGAAACACACAAAAGGAGGGTCCCACTGACAAAACGAAGGCAATAAATGCAAATTGCCCGCCACCTGCTTGGCGACCGCGGAAAGTCTATAGCAGTGAGTGTTGATATAGGAGTGGTTCAAATTTGTAAATATTGATATGTATGTATGTTCGTTTGTTTTCCTTTACTCACAGCAATAATACAATAATCTAAAGAATTGAGGGACTACTGCCATATTTCATGTCTATCAAAGCACCGTTTAATTAGTCTAGTTACTTGAAAACAATGCCTTGTATTGGTAAACATAGATAGATAGATAGATATTATTTAATGTTTGCACCGCGAACTAAGGTCTATTCTGCCCTCCCCTCTGTCACAACGACTCACATAGCAGCCCAGCAATACAGGGTTCCGATCATACCATTCTAGGGGAACTGCAGAGCGGGCAAGATCGTCGGCCGTTCATTTCCAGCTATAGCCTTCTGACCTGGCACCCAGATAAGGTGCACATGGTAACGATCTGATACGCTATTCAGCCGTTCTATGCACTCCTGCACCAGTAGCGATTTAATCTCATAAGTGCTACTTGGCTATCGCTGCGTATTTAGTTGCGATAGTTGCGTTGAAGGTTTATCTCTAGACCCCGACTTATAGCAGAGATTTCTGCTTGGAAGATGCTCGGAATCTATCCAATCCGATTTGTGTTCGAACACAGGTAGACATTGGTCTTCCCGAATTGTCCCTGGGAAATGCGTAAATATACAATCATAACTAAACCTTTTGAAACTCTCTAAAGGCTAATTGTCGTTTTATATTTCCTAAAAAAATTCATATTCATTTACGAGTTTGAAGACCTTTTAGATAAGTAATTTTTATTTGACATACCAAAATCGATTCTTAAGACATCATAGTAAAAGAAAGGATTCCTCAATCCCATGCTTCATTATAGTATTTGAAATTTTTAATCACAACAATTAGTAAAAGTCAACTGAAAATTAATTAACTTAATTTGCTATTTTATTTTCAAAAAGTCATGTGGATATTTATCGTTGAAAAATCATTATAAGGTATGACTGTAATTGAGGCTGCAAGGCTTTTATATACTATATTGTCAAAAAGAATTGTAAATACAGACCACGGCAGGAGGTTTGCGCAAAAATATAATAAGGTAATTTTTGTTAAATTGCACACGATAGCTAGACAGTTAATTTTATTGAAAGGAAAATGAGCTGCTGTGACCAATTGACTGTTAAGGGTGAAACATTATTAGTTGTTTAGCACATAAAGACCTACTGGAAACATTTTCATATGCAATTGTGAGCTAAGTATTTTTAAACAAAATAATTTTAGTCTCACTTTCGCAAAAAATTTATTCCAAACACTTTGTACTTGGCCTTTTACAATAATAGTTGCGCTGGCTAATTTTTCAAGTACAAGCTATTGAGATTGTCGCCTAACTTTGTTGTTCAAGTTTATGTAGGCTTTATATTTATGTGACTGCCCGAGGTTGCAGGCTTTCATTTTTTTTCAGCACATAAACCTAATAGCACTCAAAAGACAAGTCGGTAAAGATCAGATATAGTTCTTTCCTTCAGCGGACTATATTCTCTTAAAATATGCTGCTAAGATACCAAACAAAACGCATCAAACTGAAGAAAAACGTTTTCCTATGGGGTACTTTATATAGATATTCTCTCTTACCTGCTTGCTCTGGTGACTTCCGCAGTCGTTCTGTGCTCTCATATACAAATTAATGCTGGAGATAATGCCAGAACACACATTCTACTTAAACTATTATACAAGAGTATATATGTGTATGTTAAATAGTTGAAAAGCAAACAGCGTGTGGTCGTTGCGACAAACTTTATGTCGTTGTAAATGGCGGCAGGAGGCACAATGGTATTTTTTCTACGCACAACATGTGCGATACTCCAGAGACAATGCCAAAAAAAAATGCAAATATGATAATGACTACAGGCTATGTGGCTCTGAATAACAATCATATGACATTGGGTGAAAAAAGGACAAAGCGGAAATTCAATTTGTATGTCGGAAATGTGAAGTGATTATGCGAATTAAGCTGCGCGGCGCAACTTCTTTTCACGAACCACGTTAAATAAAAAATAAATTATTGAAAATATTTTTTGGTTTTCACTTTGAAATGAAGAAAAAGAAGTTATAGGTATAAAAAATATGTGTAGAATAAAATATATAAATACTTTTAACCAGCCGTTAAAGACGCTTTAAATCATTACGCAGGGTGAAAAGTAAACGAAAAGCTCACATACTAACAATGTGCAACTGGAAAATATACATAAAATGCCTACTTTTGCTTGAAATGAAAATCGTGAAAAAAAAAATATTTTGTTACATAGTTCGCACGGGATTTCACAGCAATATATTTGATAAAAAATAAAAGAGCCGTTAGAGAAATGTGTGTTCAAAGGCAGGGGGTACATGTACTGTTTTAGTTTTCAAAAAGCAATCAACTTTTCTTATAGATTTAACATAGCTGGCAATACATCAACACATTTTTATAAGTTTCGATTTTAGCATAAATTTCACCTTCGACTTGTATTATTTTGATCTTGAATTGATATTCGCGCTAACACCTCGCGAAGAAGTATTAAATCGGTGTTCTGTGACGGTTAGCTGACCTTGCCAGTCTGGCAAATGTTGTGATAACCCAGCTTGGCTGCAATATTGTATGTTTATCACGTTTAACATGGGTTGTGCGATATGCATAGTCGTCACACTAAAATCGAAGCTCAGTTGCGCTCATGGACCAAAAAAATTATGTGCTGAACTGTAGCCTTAACCATTAGTTGAAGTGTTACTTTAGGGAGCGTTTTGTACTGACCAACGATTGCGGCGGCCTTAAATGTCCAATAAACTGCCACTCTTCAAACTTTTGGGCAATCACACCAATATTTTTAAGCAGCTCGTTCCATGAGCTTGGTAACAATTTTTTGAATAAATTCTAAAATTGTGCCACTGAGCTTTGATACGCATCATCTGTCAAGATTTCCAGCGGGAGAGCGTTGTCACTAGCCGTCATTGTTAAAATAACATATTAAGGAAACGGAAACCACCACATGAAACACCCTGTATACATCTACTTATCTACACTCGTGCTTATGGCACAAGTGTGCGCAAGCAGATTGATATAAACTATAACCAAGGCAATATATAGATACGAGTTGAATCCGCATATAAACGCATATATATTTGTACATATGTATATATGTATAACGATTTGTTGTTGCTCACGTCATCACGGCAAATTTTGCATTCACGCTTCCCGCTACATTTTGTTAGTACGTGCTAATGCCACAGCTGCTATGTTCCGTAAAAGATTTCACTTGCGCATTCGTAGCAGCTGCGCTACGCTACCTTAACGTAATGCCAACTGATTGCTACAGCCACATTGCAAATGTGAAATATTCGAAATCTTCATCCATTTTTATTTCTCGCAATTGAGTTACAACACACACACACATACACACATATACAACAACAACACATAATATATTTATTTATTCGACAAGTGTGTGGTGGCAAAAAAGTTTTAAAAATTCACATGTAACACCTCATCGAACATGTGGCCTTGCATTTGTGTGCGTGTACACCCACATACATACATATTACATGTGTGTATTTGTGTGGTCGTCGTACGTGTCCTACGTGCCAGGCAGTTGTTAATTTAGTTTATTGCTTCGCATTCATTTGTTATAAGTGTGACAAGCTGCTGTCGCTGCCGCTCATACTGCTGCTGCTTTACCTGTATTTTTCACAAAATTATTCTCCTCAGCATTGCGTACTCATTGTTACAATATTCCCATGTGATTCTATTTCTAGTGCCACGCACCGAAATTGTCGGTGGACCAGAACGCTTGGTCAAGGCTGGCAGCACTGTTGTGTTGCGCTGCATCGTACGTGGTGCCCTGGAGCCGCCCACCTTTATAATGTGGTATCATAGTACGGAGCAAATCACCAGCGATTCAAAACGTTATCGCACACAAGTTGACCGAAATATACCCGAAATCGAAGGCGATGCCCATAGTACGGTAAGTGAAGTACTAGCGAGACCATTAAACAATAAATTATATTTAAGTAAAGTAAAAGTGAGTTTGAGATCGACAAAATTTTAAGTATACTTCTGAAGTGTTAGTTTTTTATAAATCTCTATAGAAATCTCTATAAAATCATATCCATATCCATGAAGTTTTCTAATACTCGAAAGAAATATCGGAGATCCTATACAGCATATACATAAATGATTAGCGTGATGAGCTGAGTCGACTTAGCAAAGTCTGTCTGTCTGTCAGTATATACGCGAATTAGCCCCTCAGTTTTTGAGATATCAATATGAAATTTTGCGTACATGCTTTGCTCCTCAAGTATCCGCTCATTTGTCAAACCGCCGATATCAGATCACTATAGTATCTAACTGTCACACAAACAGAACGATCGGAATCAAGTGCTTGTGTGAAAAAAAAAGTTCTCATTCGACGTGATATCTTCAAGAAATTTGGCACGGATTATTATCCAAGCCAACACAACAATACCGGAACAAATTGTTCAGATCGAACTACTAAAGCATCTAACTGCCACTCTTTATCAAGTAACCCTAACTCGCCTTGATGGTTGTTTAAAACATTACTGAAAGAGTTTTGGAACTCATTGCTAGCGTAATATCTACATGCTTTCGAGGCAACTACTAAAGCGGTTGTGTAAAATAACGCCATTTTGGTTTTCGTTTGGTGTTGAGAGAGATATTTATTCGAAACTAACTTTTGTTGAGCATAGTAATTCTTCAGAGTCTCGCGAATTCTCATCTTAGTTTAGCAAAAAAACGACTAATTGCATCACATGCTTGTTCTCAGAGAGCAACTTGACGAATGTGAGTATTAAGGCTACATTTCTCTTGCACATGTCACTGCAGGAGAGATATTATTGGATTCATGTGACCTCGAAATAATAAAATTAAGGGTGTTTTTGAACTTATTCGCTATGATCGGTTTCACTTCAAGTGCTGTAATAGAAATAATGTTTGTTTTGTTCAGAAATTAAAAAATTAAGCTTACACATATGAAAGAATTCCCTTCTGCAACCTTCTGAACGAAGACAGGCATTGAGAACTACAGCTATATCCACCATCGTATCCAAAAAATATACCATAATTTAATTTATCTAAATTATTATTGTTTTTTACCAATAAAGATAGATCTCTATTTGTTTCTCATAATATTCTCGAGTATATAATACAGCAGCATTGCTATTGATTGATTGTGAAGAGGTCGCTCATTACGCCGACAATAAAAGTTATCATTTAAGTGGTAAAAGCAATTGGATTTCACTTATTATGTCTTCCATTCCTCGCTTTAAGGGTTGCATTAAAGGCACTTCAATTTACATTTATCCAAAATGTACCCAAAATAAGCTAGCTTTACCGTCAGACGCATTGCACACTCACACGCATATATGTATATAAGTATTTCCGTGATTTCACAAGAACATGTATACAATATATACATATTGAACATTAAATTATGTGCTTATCCAACTACACACATACAGCCGTGTTGCCATAAATTGCTCGTCTTAATGACCAAATATTTTTGTTTGATCATCGACTTAATGCAAATGCCGAGTCACCTGTTTCTTTGTCGCATATCAGCCGCATTTAATCCATATTTATTATTTACCAACAGCAGCACGACTGTCAACATCAGCTATGACAAGCAATTAGGGTATATCGAATGACTGCTGTGGCAGAATGTGTAATAAAGTTAAGCTAAATCCAAGCGTTAAAACAAACAAAGCAATTTTTTTTTTACATTTTATTATTAAATTTTGCAATGCAAGATTTTGGAATATCGCTTTGGGGGGTGAAAATAATCTGAATTCGTGCAAAGCTTTGATTTTATTCCGTTATAACTTGGTGCAACTTAGCACTTGAAGTCAGCATTGAAGCAATAAGCGGGGACGTTATTAAATTCAATTCAGCTTTTGATGTTTACACGAGGGCTGCTCAATAAACATTTGCATTAACAGAATTGAATGCTGGGCGTTAGATTTTTGATCTGCATTTAAAATAACTTTTTTACCTCTGCATATTTTGCTAACTTATATTCCGCCACAGCAGGCTACTACACACTGAAATTCTCGTCTGGTGGTGAATCACCTTAATATCGGGTACTAATGTAACGATAGTTGCTCTGGCAACAATATACAATATAAGAAGAATAAATGTAACACATTAACATTGTTAGGGCTCTTCTAGTCAAACAGGTATAGTTCTTAAGCCGAAAACATCAAATATATTATATGATGAGGCATCATACAGTCCCTATTCGACAACTACTGTCTTACTAAGTTTTCCATACGTCAAACCTAAAATTTTACCTTAGAAGTACTAGTTATTAGTACTCAACAATATATTAAACTTATAAGTTTAGTTAATAGCCAATAAATAAACTTGACTATATATGCGATATATATATATATATATAGTATTGAAAAGCTGTATTCACTTGATTCCACAAAAATTGACTGCAGCTCGCGTTAACATTACCGTTATGTTTATATATTGACTATGGGTATATATTTTGCGCTTATTCCGGTTTCATAGCTCAAACCTTCTTTTTACAGTATATTGCTTCGACTTTAAATATTTTCATGAGCTGATGATTGAACAATTTAATGCCGTATTCCTAAAACAGTTTAAAGCAAGAAAAGTGTTGAATATAATATTATATTACCCTTTACTATTTATTTTTTTTTTATATATATATATATATACTAAGTACCTAGAAAAGCTTACATAATATTATATTATAGCACTGAGATCAGTCACTATGAATCACAGAATCAATTCATACGAGCACGAATATGCTTTGACACATCAATCTTTGCATATTCGATTATACCGTTATATCCATTTATATAACTCGAAGTTCTTGCAAATACGTGTAATAATTATTTCTAAATACATAAAAAGTATGCAAAAGATCTAAGTGATAGGCATCTATTTAACAAAATAACACATTTCTAAATAAACCTTATTTCATAATAATTTCTTTTTTCTTCAACATGTTCAACAACAAATGGCTTGACATTAAAAAAAAAAAAACGTTTGTCGGATAATATGTGGCTTGTCATTGACATTCACGCGTTCGACTGGCTTTCTTCATCGATGCTGGTGGATTTGTCATGTTGCCTTTGTTTTTCACTGATGCCGCCACCTACTCCGCCGCCTCCTGCTACACCGACACCGACACCGACGCTGCCACTTTACATGGTTGATATTCAACTGACACATGCAGACCGGCTCATTAATCATTGAATCAGCGAAAAAACGTGATAATGGCAATTACACATGTAGCCCGTCAAATAGCCCCAGTGTGACTGTGATGCTCAACGTTATAAATGGTGAGTACGTAGGGATGGTTAAATGTAAAAGTGAATCAGCAAAAGTCAGCAAGCATACAAAATATAAATGAATACTTTCTCTGCTTTAGTTACAAAAATATATATGTATTTTATGTTGCTCGCATACTTGATTGCTAATCCTTTAACGATAGTGAAGCAACTCTTGCGCTTGTGAGCGGTGATTTTTGCAGTTCTTAGGTACGAAATCTTTACAACAGATAACATTTTAGTGTCTTAGCATGTTCTACAAGTATAAGTAATAGATTTTTAGAGTGATTTAAAACCGGCACGCAATCATTGCAAGAGTGAGAGAGAGGTATTGTTTAACCGATGTTCGATTTTCAAGATCTTTCAACATTTTTTTTTTATATAGCAAGAGCTTCAGAGCATGAGAGCTTTAATGTTCGTTTCCATTTACAAATTTACGCTGACATCTTTACAAAAAGTTTGGCCACATTTTCCATCTTCTCTTTTTAATTTGTCTTAGAATGGTTTTTTCGTTCATTTAAGAATTATTCTAGATGGTGAATCGATGCTTATTGGAGAACAAATGTCATTAGAAAAATTTATTTAAAATTGTATATTGCGTCTTTCGACTCGAGCTGCTAATCATCGAATGTAATAAACTTGTATTTAAAAGATATATAGTACTACACCAAGAGTAGTAAACTCTAAGGAAGATAGAAGAAATACTTGTAATATTATATATTTACCATATTATTCTCACCATTTTTTTGATCACCAACTTTTTGCTCGTATTTCAAACATTTTTGTGGTGGCCAGAAAAAGTTGAGTTACCTGGCGCAAGAATTTAGTATACTAGAATGGTGACGTATCTCTTATTATTTCACAAGTAAACACAAGCAGGGTGTTTGACGTCTCGTTCTCTGCCAAACGCACAGCTTAATTATTCCGAAAGTCTGAACTAATACACATTAGTTGCTTGAGGCAGGATTTACTTAAATATCCAATTAGCTTAGCTCATCTGCAGCAACTTGAATCAAACTAAAGATTACAGAGAACCATTTCCATACAAATTATTCTCTAATTTTCATTTTATGAATGGTATTAGACTCTTGACAGATGCATAAGCTAATGACTCTTAGTTCATAACGAGACACTACAATGAAGAAAATTAAACTGATTTTTAAAAAGTGTCTGCTTCAATTAAAGTATACGATTTACTAAATACATACTAAAATTATAAGCATCGAGTAAGTGTCGTCGTGAATCGTTTGCTATTTCATGTGATAGCGTTCATAAACAATAACCTGGCTATAATTTCAAATATTTTGAATAAAAAGTTGCAGTGTTGCGAGCTACAGCAATACCGAACTGGTTTTCTTCAACAGATTTTTATATTTGGTGGGTTCGATTGAAAAATTGCAATAAATTTTGTAAACTAAGTACAACAGTTGCCTTTTGAGTTTAAAATTAAAAGCTCGTTTAATTTCGCTCCCTCTCTTTGCTATTCTGATTTGTTACGACTTCCGGTTTACAATTTCACTCAGCAGCCATGCAATTACTTTAATAGAATGCCTCATCAATCCAGATAAATATTATTGTACATTCGTTTGTATACTTTTGTATTTGTTGTGTTATCACTTTATACTTTTTATCATCTGCATATCTATTTGCTTTCTGCGCCGCACACTAAGTCGTCATATTGTTAATACTGTGATAATATTCGCGCAATTTATTTCAACACTTGCGTTGCGCGCATCTGCAGTGCTCTCGGGGCGCTAGTAACTTAGATTAGAGCCTGAAGTGGTAAAAAATCAACATCACAGTAATGACAATTTAGCGTGAGTTCTACGAACGCGATGAAGGCTATAACAACAAGTCCTAAGGTTATGTTTACCAGCAAAGGCCTTCCACTCCCACTGATGCATGGCTCCGCTCTAGGTGCGTATACGAATGAGTAGTTATGCCAGTGCTTGTGTGTATACTCTTGATCCAGCAAATCAGTAAGGATTTAGCTGATGAATGTAATCCCTTATAAAGTACGTATGTATGTATGTTTGTGTGTGCGATAGTAGTGTCCGCTATCTATGTGGTGACTGGCATTGAAGCTGCCTAGAATGTACAAACATTTGCGCTTAAATTAGGAACTTGTTTGCCTGGTGAACATTAATGATTAATTCTTTGCATTCATTACAGCAAGGCGGAAGTAGCTAAGGCGCTGGGAGTGGCAGTAGCTGCTAGCAAACTAGCATTTATATAGACAGTTACTCGTATATATAGTTAAATATAGACTTACGCATACACAAAGCAATAAAAATAGTGCGCTGTTGGTATAATCAAAATTTTCACTATGATAAAACTACTGTTAGACGTCTGCGCTGGGCAGCGGGTGTTGTGTGCGCTCCAGGCTACGGGCTATTACGATCTGGTGAAATGTTTACGTGCCAGTTATGAAAGCGTATTAACATAAAAGACAGATTAAGCACATTAAAACGAATGAAAAGGAACCGAACATTGTACATACCGAGAATATTAAGAGCACCCTTGTGTAAGGTTGTGTAAGGGGTTGCATAAATTAATACATATTATAAATGAAGATAAACGAAAGATCATTTTAGATAACTGTGAAGCCCGAATGTGGCAGCGCTAGATGCACATGAGCATCGGCTTGTAGGAAGCTGTATAGATATTACTTGCCAGATTGATAAGAATATTAGTCGACGTCGAGCAACCCGATTGCTGCATTATTAAGTTATTAGTATTATTAGGTAGAATTATTATTCCTAAACCATTTGGAGCTGAATCTTTGAATAGACATCCGGTAGCTTATGATACTGAGATAAATATAATCAAATTCATTTCGTTCTTCTCTTCGAAAACTCAACTCAACTCAACTCAAGTTCTTTAAATGCGTAGTGAGTTCGAGTACATTTTATTAGCGAGCACTTCACTTAGGTTTATTACATAACATATATACATAAACATATTTAGTTGTGATTGTAAATACAGAGAGAGAGAAACAGAGAGCGAGAGAGAGAGGCAGAGAGATAGAGAGAAGAAGCTGTCAATTTGTCAATACCGCCGATATCGAACCACTATAGTATCTGCCACACAAACTGAGCAATCGGTATCAAGTGTTTGTGTGGAAAACTTTTTTATTTGGCGAGATATCTTCACGAAATTTAGCATGGATCATTAACTAAAGCAACAATCTATGAAAGGATTGTTCAGTTCAGGATTACTATAGCATATAGCTGCCATGCAAACTGAATGATCGGCAGCAAGTTCTTGTAAAGAGCCTGAATGGTATTAGAGCTTCGGTCCAGTTGAAGTTAATGTTTTTTCTTGTTTTTATTTTAATATCGTTTCGAGGAAATTGGTTTGATTTCAGTTTGGCTCAAACTTCAAAAGTTTTAGAAATCGTCAATCACAGCGCCACAATCCAAATTTTTCATCATCAATGACACATTTAGATATTTACATATGAACGCATGTATTTCCTTATATGCACATATATACATGTGTGAGTAAAAAACACAATCAATATGCTTGGTAAACTTGCAAATTCATTGTTTGACAACTGAAAACGCAAAATGTCGAAAGCCAGCTGTCAGCACACACAAAAATACCAGCTTTGAAATATTCTCGATATACATGCATATATACAATATATACACTAATGCCATATGTATATAATATAAAAGATTTTTGAAGCGTATCTGTTCACATGTATTGGAGATGATGTAAATAAATTTACAATGGTATGAAAATTAATTTAATTTTCCTTTCCACAAATAACTGAATTGAATGAATGCTCATTGTACCGATCTCAATAGATCTATTCTCGAAATTGTCCTATTTTAATTTGCTACCTTGCAAAAACACCCACATATGATACCTACAAGTATATACATATGTACATGCTTGAACATACAAGTATTACGTGCTACAAAATATATTGTGACCTGCTTGCAACAAAATTTGCTGCTTGCTTAGAATGTCGCACCCAAAATTCATCCTGTTGACAAGCACTCTTAATTTTTTAAACTTCTTGTTTTAATTCGAGTGTTTGCATGAAGTCATGCTTATCTCTGCAATTTCGCAAATTTCTGCACCACATTCATTTGCAAAGCTCTCCGATTTAACAGTTTTCTAATTCTCTCATTCCTCTTTGTAGAGCTGAAATTTTTGGTGTACATTTTCACTTTACATTTGACAGATTTCATTTAAAAATGTCAATAAAAATTGGTTAGTTAGAAATGAAAATCGGTACTCCACAGAAATCTCATTACATTTAAGGTCGCATTGTTGAGTGAGTAAAGGATTTTGATTACATTTAGAAAATTTTATTTGCTGCTTTCACTTTTCAATTCTTTAGAGTGCAATACATTTAAATATATTTTTCAAATTGAATTTTAAACATTCTCTTTTAATTTTCCACTTGTGGATTATTTAGAAATCCAGCTAAATTTTTTAATGACATTTTGTAATAAATCTGGTAATAGTATGTGGGCACAGCAGCAGTCATGTGTGGTTGAATGATATGCGTGGTAGGTTTGTGTCTTGAAAGTGTTCAGCTTGGAACTTTAAATCGATTAATAATTCAATGGCAACTGTAAGAAACAGATTCGATTAACAATTTTTAAAAGGAGAATTTACTTTACTTTGTTCTCATGACAGATATATGATCGTTCGATGACAAAAGTAAAGGGTTTACCAAAATGAATAACGTGATGTTAAATTGAAATTAAACACTCAAATTCGGTTAAAATAGGTTCTGTTTTTTTTTTTTTTTGTTATATAAAAATTTGTATGTCATTTATGATATTAACCATATGTCATCCAAATGACCACCACAGCTCCCGTTTACGCTAAATTTCGTTGAGCCGGTGCAGCATTTCAGCTGAAATTTCGGCTATAGTGAACTGAATGTTGTCTTCGCGTTTCTTGAGCGTTGCTGGTTAATTAGCGTAAGCTATTGATTTAACATATCCCCAGAGAAGCTAATCTGTGCCATTTCCCGAAATTAACAAGTC